GGCTCCCGGCCCCGGTGCTCGGCAGCACATCTCCGCCCGGGGCGCACAGCCCCGTTATCCTCACCTTGCTGCTGGGCTCCATGGCCGCGCTGCGATCGTGGCTCTACCTGTGCCGACTGCGAGACGGGAAACGGGCGTGCTCTGACTCTGCGTCTCCCGCTGGATCTCCACGCCTTGGCGCACTTGGGACCACTTGGCTTAGACCAGGACTCCACGAGCGAATCCTCCACTCAGTTCCTAACAGGAGCGCGCGGAGGTCCTTTTTATAGGACCGTCGCCATTGGCCTGCGCTGTGGGGGAGGGGCCCTGAGTGGGTGGAACCTGAGTAGCACGTCCGGGGCGGGGCTCCGAGGGGCGTGGTTCTTTCGGGAGGGGTAAAGGGCTCCTGACCACAGCCCGGGCTTTGGATGCTCAATTACCCGGTCCCGGGCGCGCGGGGCACCTGTTGGGGGCGCTCGCTGTGTGTCTCTGGGCTGGTGCGCGCACCTCTCTGAGTCTCAGCGGCCGCTAGCAAAATGGTACTGGGATGTATTGCCCCGCTGGGACTCCGGCTTCCTCACTCGGACTGCCGGATAACTTTGGTAAACTGGGGATAATAATAGTACAACCTCTTGGGTTGTTAGGAAGATTAAGCGAGTTAATATTTGGAGCGTGTTTACATCGCATCTGTTACGTGTAAGTTGGTATTAAATTTATTACAGAGACCATGGGAGGTCTGACTCCGAGGCAGGGTTTCTCCCTCTCCGTCCTCCGTATTTCTGTTCCAAAGCCCAAGCTCCTCTTTTGCTCCTAGAAACCATGCTCACTGCTTCTCTAGGCTATAAAACCATCACCTTCCTCTATATCTGACTCTGTGTGACACCTAAGTGTTAAGACCTGAGAGTCTGGGTGCCTTAAATGGATAAAGACACAGAAGACCTTTGTCATTGAACCCATTGAACCGGCGCTAACTGATCCCGGGCAAGCTCCAGGCCAGTGAGCCACAATTTTCTTTTGGATAAAATGGAATTCGTATCAAACCCTGTGCTATCAGAATTACAGGTGAGCTCCTGAGTACGGCAGCCACAGCCTCTGTAGTGGTGGCACTGTGGTCATCGGAATTCACTCTGTTTTCTTTTCCAGAGGCGATGGAGGGACTTCCAGTCCCAGCTCCTCATCTAGGTCCAGCTGAGGGAGGGATCTGGGAGAAGTTAGTTTCTGTTAGAGACAGAAAGCTGAGCTGTGTGCCAGTTGCTGGCCTAGGGGGCATCCTGGTTGGGCATGGATCTCTGAAAGGGAAAGCACCTCCTCTCACCTTGCACACCACCTCACCCTCTTTCTTCCCCTGTTGTCTCCGCACTCACTTCCTCTGACCCTGGGCCCTGTTACTTTCCCTCAGTACATCCGATGTCACGGCTGGAGCAAGGCCCGAGTCTGTTCATCCAGGCCCTTCCTTAGGGCACCAGTTCACGAACTCCACCTCACTCATCATAAGAGCACATGTCTGTCTTTCAGCCAACAAGTCACACTCACCAATCAGTCACCTTCTTCTCTGCCATGGTCCTATGCTAGTCAGTTTCCCAGGGACAGAGGCAGGAGAGCCTACTTCTTCAGGTAGTCCCCAAGCTAGAGGGACAGTGTGGGGGGGGCAATATAAAACATGGCCAAGGAAGAATATAGGGCAAGTCTCCAGAAAGAATGGGGGAGGGCAGGGCATAGCTCTTTGGGAGGGGGAGGTGATGCAGAGCAGGGTTTGGAAGGTAGAATAGGAACTCAATGGGTGGCTAGATGGGAAAACCATTCTTGACAGAGGGAGGAGGAGGTACAAAGGCAGCAGACAGACTGATTTCAGAAAGAAAGAGTATCTCGAGACAGTACCCTGAACCACAAGTTTCAGACTTCCGAGTCCCAGCTCTGCAACTTGCTTGCCAAACATCTGAGCTCATCTCTCCTCAGCTTCAAAACCCACATCTCTAAAATGGGTCTAACAGTCTCCTCCTGGGGTGGATAAGGGTCTGTCAAAGAAATTGCACAAATTCTTTTTTCCTCTTTCTTTCTTTCTTTCCTTCCTTCCTTCCTTCCTTCCTTCCTTCCTTCCTTCCTTTCTTTCTTTCTTTCTTTCTTTCTTTTTGAGACAGAGCTGTCCTGGAATCCACTATGTAGATCAGGATGACTTCAGATTCACAAAGATCCACTTGCTTACCAAGTCCTGGGATGAAAGGCTTGAACTGCCAGAACCCTGACCAAACTGCACTGACTCCTGGTGTCAGCATCTCAAGTCCAGTCCCATGTTCCCATAGTGCTCAAGGAAGAGCAGAGTAGCCAGGAAAACAACTTTACTTTTCCCCATCTCACTGTACCTGCCCAGACACAGATCCCATTGTCTGCTTGGAATTCCACTTCTGTCCTCCTCTGTAAATGTTTTATGGCCCCTGGAGGCTACTGTTGAGAGGCAAATTCACTGGGAGCTATGGGCAAGGATCAGAGGTTAGATTCTTAGGTGGACTATTATCTTGGAGACTCAGTCCTTGGAAACAGAATTTAACCCTGTTTAAGGAGAGAGCACCAAAACAAAACAAAAACAAACAAACAAACAAAAAAAACCCAAGAGACGTATAAAGCCTTAGCAGAAAGATGTGTCACAGAGGGAAGGATGTGGGTAGAAGCCAGGAGAAGTGGCTCCTTGTAGTG